AGGTCATCATGACCATAATTATGTAGGCATGTCACATGTTTGTTTTTTTTTGTTTTGTTTTGTTTTTTTGTAAAATAAAATGTGTAAATCGGTACAGGGCTTAAAGTCCAATTAAAATGATGCTTTTTGAGTAAAAATTGATAAAGAAGACTCCGTATGCCTGGAACAATTTATAATAACCTAACAAAGTACAGTTCATCAAGTTGGCAATGCATCGATCCCCATGGAGGTATACAATTTTATACTCCACACGGTATCACGTATAGTTTCAACATAAACGTAAAATAAGAGTTTAATTCACAAGTGTGTTTCGACGAGGGTTAACGCAAACGCAAGAAATGTAACGCATCTGTGAACCCATGGAGACGCGGTGCAAACGCAAACGACGCTGTTCCGATACAGTATTTCCCTGAGTCATTGTCATTGCGTCTGAAGCTGTACGAAGTGGTCTGACAGTGGGGTCTGATGATTTGAGGCGGGGTGCAGGGGCTCAAGGGCTAAGCTCGCTGAAACTGGGTAATTTAGAGTCATTTTAAGCCGTTCTGACGCGTTGTAGAACCTAAAAAAATCGTGTTCGTCCGACAAGCTGTGTCGTCACTGGATGGGGAAGGGGCTTGCTGTCCGACGAGGTGGTGGGGGAGGGGCTTAACTTATCCCTGGCCGCCACTGTGCTTGATCTCTTGAGTTTTACAGTACCGAATAATCACTGAGTTAAGCCTGGCACCACGATCTCAGTCTCTGCATTCAAGGTATTTCCACCTAAATTAACATTGGAACTAAAATTAGTGCTACACCGGCTTCAGGTCTGTATACCTAAAACATTCGAAAACAGAACCAATATAATATGGTAGTCCTTTAACAACCATACAGGAAATGATCACAAATTAATTATTATGTAATACATAATCGGTTCTAAGGCTTCTAAAATTGATAAATAAAATCTACTCACAGCCGCGATATTACGTTACGACATTTGACCTGCTAATAGACTCCACCCAAAAAAAACAAAAACAAAAACAACAAAAAAAACAAATACTTAAAAGTTAAAAATCAAATAATAACAACAATGATGACCACTTAACTGATCATAAGCGACTAAAGTTAAAGCGGCTAGTATCTAAAGGATTGCCCCAAGGCAGTATCTTGGGACCTCTTAATAGCTTATTATGTTTATAATTGACAAGCCCCCCTGTGGTGCCTTGTTATCATGTTGATAAAAGTGCTCTGATGTATAGTGTAAATACTAAATTGTAAAGTTGGGTATCATCTCACTGAAGATTTAGAAGCAATAATACATGGCTGTTGGCAAATACAAAGCTGTTATTCTGCAGCTAAGTTTCTTCCTCCATGTCTGCCGGCTAAAACTCGAATTTGCCTATCCTTAAAGTTAGGGTTGGAGTACGCCCTCACTAATAATCACGAAAATGTTTATACTGCCGGCTAAAAAAACACTGCCTTAAAAATAAGCTAGAAAACAAAATATATCGTACTTAATTCTCCCAAATTTTTGAAAAAGAAAAACCAATTTCTTATGTTGTTCTCTAAATAATGGATAGCTAGCTCTATGATTTTAATGTACATTTTGCTGTTTTTTTCCTTTGCAATTGAATTTCTTGTTTTTAAAATTAATTTAAATTATAAAAATTGATAATGAATAATTTTATTTGTAAGTAGGCCTAGTGATCGTTCATCCTGTCATGATTGATTGGGCCTACATGACATAAATTCATTAGCCTAAGTCCCCTGCTCCCTATTAAACTCATTCCAGTTTTATTTTCATTGAATCAATTGTTCGCGGGTAAAAATACTATTTTGCATGATTAGTTAAACCATTCATCGGGTCTTTGTGGCCTGTGCAAAATATACGCCTCTTGAATATCGTCAATAGTATCGCTTTTCGTAAGCTGGATCCAATCTCCAAATCCTTTTACGCGTTTTATCACAATCTTAGCGCATAGAAAGACCCGGTCGTCCCAGCTGGGCAGACGATTTCGCGCATGGCTAGCCGATGTACTCGCAGCGCTGCTTACCGCTTCAATATTGAGGGTGAGTTTGACAATGTATTCACGTCCCATTTGAAGCACATTTTGCGTATGAACGCACAATAAGCATTACGTTTGGAATAGAAGACCATACAGCTTGTGGTATAACTACCACTTGAATGCAACTTTTTATAAAATAATTAGACGTAAGAGAAAAGAAATAAAGTCAATGAGGCCTTGGTTTCAACCAAAACAAAGCTACTGTAATATGCACGGTTTTGTCCGAATAGAACAATGCGTTACCCACCAGACAACGTAACTGTAACAAGTCTCTATTATAGGAATTTATAAGCGGCCAGATTAAAGGAATGAATTTGAGACATTTTTGATTATTTTGTGAATATGGGACCCGGATGCGTTTAAATTCTAGTACCGAATTATATCGCGCGAGTATTACAACGATCGCAAAACGGTCGCTTTAAAACATACAGTCTTGCGATAATAATTATTAGAATGCTGTACACAAACATTTCAAACTGTGTTCGGACGATAGAGCTATACAATTAAATTCATAACTGTGTTCAGACTGAGTAGATTAATCAAACTTTAATAATGAATATGATATTATGAATCATAACAGATAAGCCTGACCCTAGTTATCAATAATAACTGTTATCATTATTGGTAGGTTGTATAAATAGATTTAAGACCGACGGCGTGGCACTGAAAATGATACAGATAGCATATTTGACGAGTGGAAAATGAACGAAAGCGAGGCTTACAAGGTAGGCCTATGGAAACATGGGATAGGAATATATGTCATGGATGCTAAAACATGTGTGAAGAAAATAGATAACATCGTGGTTGGGGGTCAGTGTCTGAATTGACCACAAGAAAGGCAAATTTATACAGAGATCCTCGTTTTTGATTGGCCGCGCCGAGATCCACACCGCTAAGTCAGACTTAGTGTCAGCACATGAGAGCCCAAGTCAACAGCAGAGATGCGAAAAGTGTATGACCGAACAGCGAGTCGGGTCGGTTGCCTGTCGCGTAGCAAAGTTCAAGCGGAAATAGGTTGCTAAGAGATGAAGGGAGTAATGGAGCGACTCGAGAAGAGGGTTAGGCCCCATAAAAAAAAATTATTAGTTTATCACCCTATCAAAGAATAAAAACTGATGAGGGAGGGAGGGTTTTTTTTTAATTTATTTATTTATTTATTTTTGTTTTGCTAATCCCGCTTTTTACCGATGATCACAAGTAATTCAATGGTTAGGGACACATATATAGTCATAAGAATACAATCAAA